GTTGTGGGGATGGACACTTCTTTCCTATTACTGCCCTGTAGAGGAGCTGATACCTCCTTTGTCTCCCCAATATACACCTGGAGGGCCTCCTGGAGGGGAACGCCCTGTATCCTACTCCCCCCCCCAGAAAGCATCTCTGTTTTGTGAGAACAATTTTACAGAGGAGCCCAGCTGTGCTTGACGCTCCCTGCTCCACCTTGGGGGAACTGGGTAGTGAATGTAGAGACTCATGTTATCCTTCTGAAGCGCAATGTCCCACAGCTGAGAGCAATTATGAGCCAAATCAGCTGAGAGGAAGAAAAAATGTGAATGATAGTTGGGAATACGTTAACAACACCTTACTAGATGCCTAGAAGCCCACAAGGAAGAACACCGTGTTGGTTAAAAAACGACCTTTAAACCAGGTCGGTTTTTTAACCAACATGGTGTTCTTCCTTGTGGGCTTTTAGGCACATATATAAAACAAATGGAAGAAAGGGGAAGTTAATAATAATGAATATAAATCAGAAGTTAAGAATTGTAGAAAATTAATAAGGGAAGCAAAAGGACATAACTCTGCTGGCCACAGATTTCTCCTTAAGGACAATAGGGTCTTTAAAAATATATTAGGAATAAAAAGAATCCTAACAATTGTATCAGTCCACTGCTAGATGGAAATGGTAAAATTATCAGTAATAATGCAGATAAGGCAGAAGTGTTCAATAAATATTTCTGTTCTGTATTTGGGGGAAAAACAGATGATTTAGTCTCCTCACATGGTGATAACACTCTTTCCATTCCAGTAATATCTCTGGAGAATGTTAAACAGAAGCTAGACATTTTTAAATAATCAGGTCCAGATAACTTGCATCCAGAAAATTTTAATAAATTGGCTGAGGAGCTCACTGAACTATTTATGTTTATTTCCAATAAGGCTTGGAGCACTGGGGAAGTTCCAGAAGACTAGGAGAAAGCTAATGTACCAATTTTAAAAAAAAGATTAAATGGGACAACCCAGATGATTGTAAGCCTGTCAACCTGACATCGATCCTGGGCAGGACAATGCAGTGGCTAATATGGGACTTGATTAATAAAGAATTAAAGAAGGATGTAATTAATGCAAATCAACATGGGTATATGGAAAATAGATCATGTCAAATCACTTTATCTTTTTTTGATGAGATTACAAATTTGGTTGATAAACGTAATAGTATTGACGAAATGGACTTCTGTAAGGCATTTAACTTGGTATTGCATGACATTTTGATTAAAAAAAAAAAGTAGAAAATATAAAATTAACACAGCACACAGTAAATGGATTAAAAACTGGCTAACTGATGGGTCTCAAAATGTAATTGTAAATGGGGAATCATCAACAGTGTGTGTTTCCGGTGGGGTCCTGCAGGGACCGGTTCTTGGCCCTACCCGGTTTAACACTTTTATCAGTGACCTGGAAGAAAACATAAAATCATCACTGATAAAGTTCGCAGATGACCTAAATATTGGGGGAGTGGTAAACAATGAAAAGGACAGGTCACTGATTCAGAGCAATCTGGATCGCTTGGTAAACTGGGTGCAAACAAACAAAATATACATTTTAATATGGCTAAATGTAAATGTATCCATCTAGGAGCAAAGAGTGCAGTCCATACTTACAGGATGGGGGACTCTAGCCTGGGAAGCAGTGACTCTGAAAAACACTTGGGAGTCATGGTGGATAATCAGCTGAACATGAGCTACTAGTGTGATGCTGTGGCCAAAAATGCTAATGAGATCTTGGCATGCATAAATAGGGGAATCTCAAGTAGGAGTAGAGATTATTTAACCTCTGTGTTTGGCACTGGTGCGACTGCTGCTGGAATCCTGTGTCCAGTTCTGGTGTCCACAATTCAAGGGGGATGTTGATAAATTGGAGAGGGGTCAGGGAAGAGCCATCAGAATGATTAAAGGACTAGAAAACATGCTTTATAGGGATAGACTCAAAGAGCACTATTTATTTAGCTTAACAAAGAGACGGTTAAGGGGTGACTCGATTGCGGTCTATAAATATGTACATGGGGAGCAAATATTTAATAATGGGCCCTTCAATCTACCAGAGAGAGGTAGGACAAGATCCAAGGGCTGGAATTTGAAGCTAGACAAATTCAGACTGGAAATAAGATGTCCATGTTTAACGGTGAGAGTAATTAAGCACTGGAACAATTTAGCAGGGGTTGTGGTGGATTCTCCATCACTGCTCTGGGAATTATTTGGGGCAAGTTCCCTGGCCTGTGTTATAAAGTCAGACTAGATGATCACAGTGGCCATTCCTGACCTTGGAATCTATGAACCTGTGATGGGGGAGCCATAGATGCCAGACAGCCTCTGGTACCATATGGGAATGGCCAGTGAGCAAACCCGGGGGTGGCGTAGGCCTGTGTGTGCTGCGTCTAGAGGTCTCTAATGCGGGTGCCTGGCTCTGGTGCAGGTCTCCTGGATACCCGTGTGGAGCTGCCCCTCCTGGCCATCATTGTTGGAGGAGCCTTGGCACTGGGGACTCTCGTCTGCCTCAACACCCTCATCATCTGTGTTGTCTGCAGGAAGGGGAAGAAGGCGTCAGGTGAGAGGGACGTGTCCTTGCACTGCTGGTGCCCTGGACACCAGGGCTTTTCTTTGGGCCTGGGAGTGCTCCTTCCCCCAACTGCTTGGGTTATGGGCCAGGGTGCCCCTGCCGCGCCCAGCTCTGTGTAAAGGCCAGGATGCCAACTTTGCCCCTAACGCTCTCTCTTCTTTGCCAGGGCTCTCTGGACCTACGCAACCGCCTCCGAGGTAACCCACCCCTGCCCCCCGCTGTGGGGTCTCTGTTCTGACAGTACTTGGTGGAGGGGTAAAAGTGCCTTATTTATCCCCCTCCCCCCCCCCCACCGACCACCCTGAGGCCCTCCCCCCCCCCCCCCCCCCCCCCGCACCTGTGCCTGCCTCTTTAACCCATTCACTGCTTTGGCATGTGCAGTTTTTGGGGAGGGTCTACTAGGAGCATGTGAGGATTGGCTCAGTTCCATGTGGTGGCTCCTGGGGCTGGGGTAAGTTTGGTGTTGTTGCAACGTGCCAGATTCACAGTACTGGAGATTGGAGTCCTCTATCCCCAGAGCAGGGCCAGCCCAGGCACCCATGCCCTGCCCCGCCTTGGAGAGACCCTGTGTATGGGCAAGAGGAGAGTCCTGTAGGGCCAGCTGGGGCTGACTGTAATTTGCGCCCTTGGGAGCTAGACTGACTCCTGCCAACTCACTTCACAGAGGGGCCCCAGCTGCTGTCTGGGGACAGTGTCCAGTCCCTGCCAGGCGGGCAGGGCTCCCTATCCAGACCTCCCCCCTCGAGCAGCGCTGGTTCCATGGGACACGGATGTAGGAGCAGGGGCTGAGGGCCAGCCCAGCCCGGAATGAGCCAAATCTACTGCCACATAGGCATGACCTGCGGCAGGGCCTCTGGGCAAGAGGCCTGCACTGCAGAATGTGCTGTGCCACTGGAGGGGGATCTTGCAGCCATTCAGCCTTCGTTCTTGTTGCAGCGATTCCAACAACCTGAAGCTGAACAGCGTGCGACTGCCACGAGAGAACATGTCCCTCCCATCCAACCTGCAGCTCAATGACCTCACACAAGAAGCCAAAGGTGTGTTCCTTACCAGAACCGGGCAGTTCAGAGGAATGTCTCTTCTGAGCTGGGCGCAGCTGCCCATAGCAGATGGGGTGGGATTTCCCATTGACCCAGTGTGAGCCTTTCCCCGGGACTCCTTTCCTGCATCTGTCTGGGGCAGCGGCTTCCCCTTTGATTGTAGGTCTGTACTTTGGGCTGGGTCCCTGCTGCATTTGGAGGGGGGGGCTGGAACTGGACCGGTATCCCCAGGTAGGGGAGTCCCAGCTCTGATGGGGGCAGTACAGACATGTGGACACAATGCGTGTGACTCCTCACTCCAAACACCTCCTTCCCGACAGCCAGCCGTTGGGACGCAGGAATCCAGACTGAGCGGAAGGACGATGCCCTATCAGAGCCAGAGAACAGCCTGGGCCTTGGTAATAGAGGTAGCAAGTCTGGGCAGCTCTCTAGGGGCCGGGAGTGGATCTGGGAAAGGTGGTTCCATCCTGTGATGGACTAGTGCAAATGGCTCACTACTGGGTGCAGTGTCAGCTCATCATTCTGGGATGTATTAGCAGAAGTGTTGTAAGCAAGACACCGGAAGTAATTCTTCCGCTCTGCTCCATGCTGATGAGGCCTCAACTGGAGTATTGTGTCCAGTTCTGGGCACCAGTTTCAGGCAAGATGTGGACAAATTGGAGAAAGTCCAGAGAAGAGCAACAAAAATGATTAAAGGTCTAGAAAACATGACCTATGAGGGAAGACTGAAAAAACTGGGTTTGTGAAGACTGAGAGGGGACATAAGTTTTCAAATACATAAAAGGTTGTTACAAGGAGGAGGGAGAAAAATTATTGTTGTTAACCTCAGAGGATAGGACAAGAAGCGATGGGCTTAAATTGCAGCAAGGGAGTTTTAGGTTGGACATTAGGAAAAACTTCCTAACTGTCAGGGTGGTTAAGCACTGGAATAAATTGCGCAGGGAGATTGTGGAATCTCCATCATTGGGGATTTTTAAGAACAGGTTGGACAAACACCTGTCAGGGATGGTCTAGCTAATACTTAGTCCTGAGTGCAGGTGACTGGACTAGATGACCTCTCGAGATCCCTTCCAGTTCTATGATTCTATAACGCAAGAACTAGGGGGGGTCACCAAATGAAATTAATAGGCAGCAGGTTTAAAACAAACTAAAGGAAGTATTTCTTTACACAACGCACAGTCAACCTGTAGAACTGTTTGCCAGAGGATGTTGTGAAGGCCAAGACTATAACAGGGTTCAAAAAAGAACTAGATAAATTCATGGAGGATAGGTCCATCAATGGCTATTAGCCAGGATGGGCAGGGAGGGTGTCCCTAGCCTCTGTTTGCCTGAAGCTGGGAATGGGCGATGGGATGGATCACTTGATGATTCCCTGTTCTGTTCATTCCCTCTGGGGCACCTGGCATTGGCCACTGTGGGAAGACAGGATACTGGGCTAGATGGACCCCGTTCCGTCTCCTCCACCTAGCGCGCCCTGCCCGTGCTCCTCCCACTTGCTGGTGATCAGCAGGCACTGGGGGAGAGGGAGGAGCTGATTGGCAGGGCTGCTGTGGGGTGCTGAGCACCCCCTATTTTTGTTCTAGGGGTCTCCAGCCCTGGAGCACCCACAGAGTGGGCGCCTGTGGGTCTGACCCAGCAGGGCTGGTCTTATGTTCTTAGTATTATTTAATTTACATGTTTAGACCTTTGCATAGATTGTCATTATTCAAACCTATGTAACTTAAATACTAAAATGGGCTGAAAGTGGAGGGGCTGGTAGGCAACTTGCATGATACGCTTTGAAATGGCTGAGTGTTGGGGCTTTAGCGAGCCTGGGAACAGTGTACCACCTGCATCCAGAAGCTTAATTGAGCTGCATTCCCTGACCCACAACCTAGGCTGACTGTGCAGCAGGGCCCTTGTAATGGGATTTCTTTTGTCCTCCAGGTTTCGTCCGGTTCCCAATGGTTGGGCACATTTACAAAGTGTCCAGCATGAGCAGTGATGAGATATGGCTGTGAATGTGTAGGCAGGACACTCCTGTGGGGGTCCAGGTTCTCCCTCAGTCTCCTGGGATGAGTCCACTGATCCATCGGCACTGCAGACCCATCCAGGAGCTGCTGTTCTCCCCAGGATCCCAGACTACAGCAGCCAGCTCAGAACAAGCTCTCTGTGTAACTACCACCAGAGCTCCAGGTGAGAAAAGTGCAACGTCACCAAGTTCCTGTGACTGCAGGTCTTCCACACCATCCTACCCCAAGCATCTCTGGGCTCTTCTGCTCTTGCACTTGAGTAGGTTAGCTAGTCTCACCTAAAACATCATGGAGTCTGATTTTTAAGAACTCTCCAGTGTGCTGGGGGGCAGGTGGAGCACCAAGAGTGGGAATGGCCTGTTCGCCTGTCCAGGAGCAAGAGAAATTCATACATGTAACAGCCACGGTCATTTCATCTCCACTCAGCCATGGGAGCACCCAGCTATGTCCATCTCTGAACGGATCAGGGCTGCGTACTGGAGCTCCTGCGAGGAGTCTGAAACTGCTGGGAGTGGAAGAGGGTGAGGTAATGTCAGCATCTTAGGGAAGCATGTGAGTAGGGGGGATTGGCAGGAAGCCTGGCTTGCCCAAACTCCAATCTCAGTCAGTCAAACATTCCTTCTCGGGCCTGGCCAAGTACCTAAGCCCAGTGGCTCCTGATCTGCTGCTTGGGGTGGTAGGAAACCCAGAAGATCAGGCTCTAGGTGTTCCAAGCTAGGCTTCAAAAATTAGGGACCACCTTAGAAAACGTGGCCTGTCCTGTGTGTGTTGAGGATCGTATCATACAGTGAGAGATGGAACAGACTTACCTCCCCATGGGGCTGGGAGGGGAGACGCACTCCAGGAACGGTATAGTGCTGAAACCCAAAATAGCAAGCACTGAGGCCATTATTTGTGAGCTGTTCTAGTTCTGTGTATTCACCCTGCTAGGGAAAAGTAAACCTCACCAGTTTGGGATGAGGGAACACCAAAAGAGTGCAAGTACCCCCTGGTGCTTCTCAGCCTCCAGTTAACGCCAGCCCTATCTTGGGAGAGCAGTGATGGGCTGCTTCTGGTTATCCCATAATCAACCTCTTTGTGAGAAAGAACATGGGGTAGTTTCTGCTTGGAGCCCACAGCTGTCTCCTGGAGAAGAACTAGAATAATAAAAGGAAGTTCATAATCTTTGAAAAGAACATTTAGGAGAGATGTATCCCTGCTCTGTCTTCAGTTACACTCATGCAATTCCCCTGTGGACAAGGGATAGGTATGGGTGTGCCTGAGGGTAGTTATCACTCTAATTCTTCACCCCTCTGAACCTAGACACTGCAGCGCACACAGGACATTTCTATGTGAAAAACCACTGCAGACCCTAACCATCCATTGCAATAACTGCTGTGTAATTCCTACAGTCCAGAGTTGCTGCAGCACCTGGGCATTAGGATGGCTTTGAGGTTTTTTAGCCTTTGCTTTGTTAGTGTCTTGCTTAGGCAACTATCTCTCTCCATCAATGTGCATCTGGAAAGAGCAATTCTTTCCTGGGAGACTCCCATTTTTGGTCCTTCTCTCATACCAAGAAGATGGAATAAGCACAAATAGAAGTGCTGGTGGAAATAAATACATCTGGCCATGCAGGCTGACCAGCCTCTGAGTAATACATTAAGCTATGCATCAAATTATCTAGCAGGTGTTAGCTCAGTTAGTTGTTTTAAGATGCTGCATTGTTAGCCGAGGCATGTTTTTATGTAACTTAGGCACTTTTAAGAATAAAATGCTATAATCAAAGTGTAATGCAGAGGTCTTTGTAAATTGACTAATGCTCTGCTGAGTTGAGTGCTGCTATGTCTCTGGCAGGAGTTGATGGGATGGAGGGACCTGCTTACCTTGTTGTAGCTGCTTTAATGAGGGAGCCTTAGGTGGTCCTCACCTCAAGGATCTCTTTCAGAGCACTGACTCAACAGTGTCTGGAAATTTCTTCCAACAGCAATAAACCAAATAATTGTCTGTAGTGGTGGCTGGTTATTTCTGGTGATCTGTCCTTTTCTCCCAAAATGCAGGACAATACTGGGCCACATTCTGCTGGAAGTTATCAGTGTAAACCAGGAGTAACTGTTGGATTTACACTAGGCTGAGACGGCTCAGAGCTAGTGCCCTCATCTCTACCCAGAGGCTGGTAAAGGGGACATTTCATGTGTTAACTGATACTACCTACAGGAAACCAGGGGGAAAACAGACTACACTCTGCCTTGATTTGAAGGCAGTACCACCCTCTCCTTCCTGTCAGTCTCCTTAGTTTTCTCCCTTGAGTGGCTGCTAATGGGCTCCTGATACAGAGCAAAGGTCCGTCCACAGCACCACCTTCTCCCCTTCAATTGCTTCCACTGACAGCTCTTCCCTCTTGCAGCACAGGTTTACACAAGCACATGAAGTGTGGTGAATACATCACTTTATTGGAAATGCCTATCTCCAGGTGAATGACATGGTTGTGTTTCTCAGTGCTGTTCATCTCTCCAATTAGTGGCTGAATCTTGTACTCATCTCAAAATGGAAACAGCTGCAGAGAAGCAAATCAAAGCCCATCCCTGCAGTGAAGTCCTGGCTCCCTAGCAATGCAGGGTGGGTCTCTGGGCTAAATTCTTTTAAATATTTGCTTGGAGGAAAGAGTCAAGCTCCTGGTCTTTAGACCCAACTCTGAAGCTCAGCAGACTGCAGAGCCACAAGGCCTAGCAGTCTAGAGAATGGCTATACAAGGAGTCTCAAAGGAAGGTTTGAAAACTAGAAGCCTCTGGTAATTGGCAGAGCCTTAGGCAGCGGGCGGGGCTACCGAGCAGGCCAGGGCTTTATAAAGCAGTGCAACAAGCGACCAGAGGAGCGTGCGAACAGGGATGGCAAACAGGGGAGTTTACAAGGGAGTTTAACAGGGAGGCCAGGGGGCAGGGGCCCCTCGCTCCTTCCTTCAAAGCAATAAGCTATACTACAGTCACAACTTCTTCATTTAAACAAAATCCTTTCAGTGGCTAGGAGACCATGCAGGCAGAAGCCCAGCAGCACAGTGGGGGCTATCTGGTGTATTGTGCTGAGTGCATCATGTATGATTACCTGCCCTGTGGGCATGTGTGCAGGGAGCTCCTGGCCCTCAGAGACCACATACAGGCTTTGGAGGCCAGGGTGGCAGAACTGGAGGAGCGAAAGGAGGCAGAGAGGTATGTTGCTGAGGCTTTCCGGGACACTGTAGATTTGTCCCACCTCCAGTCAGACAGCCCCTGTGCTGGTGACAAGGCTGAAAGGCCCAGGGAAGCAGAGCAGTCAACAGGCACAGAAGGAAACCTTCCCATAGCTGGGGTATCCTCTCACACTGAGGTTACCTCTCCTGGGGAGGGAACTCCAGTCATTAGGAAAAGACAGGTGTTCGTTAGTAATGGAAGATTCAATCTTTAGAAACATAGATAGTTGGGTTTGTGATGGCTGGGAGAACCATTTGGTGACTTGCCTGCCTGATGCAAAGGTTGCGGATCTCTCGACATCTGGATAGACTTCTATGTAGTGCTGGGGAGGAGCCAGTGGTCATGGTACATGTAGGCATCAGTGACATGGGGAAGGGTAGAAGAGACGTCCTGGAGGCCACATTTAGGCTGCTAGGGAAGAGACTGAAATCCAGGACCTCAATGGTGGCATTCTCAGAAATGCTCCCAGTTCCACGCGCAGGGCCAGGTAGGTAGGCAGAGCTTCAGAGTCTCAATGCATGGATGAGACAATGGTGTAGAGAGGAGAGGTTTAGAGTCATTAGGAATTGGGGAAACTTTGGGGATGGGGGAGCCTATACAGGAGAGATGGGCTCCACCTAAACCAAAGTGGAACCAGACTGCTGGCCCTAAACATTAAAAACTGCTCTGCAACCTTTTTAAACTAGGAAATGGGGAAAGCCGACTGCTGCAGAGGAGCATGTGGATCAGACAGAGACTTCTCTTAGAGGACAGTCTATTGATAGAGATTCTCTAGGTTATAGAGGATGGAAGAGGATCATGTAAGGGCCAGATCAGACAAGAAACATTCACATAAAAAAGAATCTGACACATCAGGAAAGGGCAGACAAATAAACAGTGGCAAGTTTTTTAAGTGCTTGTATACAAATGCTAGAAGTGTAAATAATAAGATGGGTGAACTAGAGTGCCTCGTGATAAAGGAGGATCTTGATATAATAGGCATCACAGAAACCTGGTGGACTGAGGACAATCAATGGGACACAATCACTCCAGGGTACAAAATATATCTGAAGGACAGAACAGGTCATGCAGGGGGTGGGGGGAGTGGCACTATATGTGAAAGAAAATGTAGAATCAAATGAAGTACAAAAATCTTAAGTGAATCCACATGTTCCATAGAATCTCTATGGATAGTAATTTCATGCTCTAATAAGAATATAACATTAGGGATCTATTATCGACCACCTGACCAGGACAGTGATAGTGATGATGAAATGCTAGGGGAAATTAGAGAGGCTATCAAAATTAAGAACTCAATAATAGTGGGGGATTTCAATTATCCCCATATTAACTGGGAACATGTCACCTCAGGACAAAATGCAGACACAAAATTTCTCCATACTTTAAATGACTGCTTCTTGGAGCAGCTGGTACGGGAACCCACAAGGGGAGAGGCAACTCTCAATTTAGTCCTGAGTGGAGCACAGGAGCTGGTCCAAGAGGTAACTATAACAGGACCGCTTGGAAATAGTAACCATAATATAATAACCTTTAACATCCCTGTGGTGGGAAGAACATCTCAACAGCCCAACACTGACATTTAATTTCAAAAAGGGGAACTATGCAAAAATGAGGGGGTTAGTTAAACAAACAGAAATTAAAAGGTACAGTGACTAAAGTGAAATCCCTGCAAGCTGCATGGGCGCTTTTTAAAGACACCATAATAGAGGCCCAACTTCAATGCATACCCCAAATTAAGAAACACGGTAAAAGAACTAAAAAAGAGCCACTGTGGCTTAACAACCATGTAAAAGAAGCACTGAGAGATAAAAAGACTTCCTTTAAAAAGTGGAAGTCAAATCCTAGTGAGGCAAATAGAAAGGAGCATAGACACCATCAAATTAAGTGTAAAAATGTAGTAAGAAAAGCCAAAGAGGAGTTTGAAAAACGGCTAGCCAAAAACTCCAAAAGTAATAAAGTGTTTTTTAAGTACATCAGAAGCAGGAAGCCTCCTAAACAACCAGTGGGGCCCCTCGATGATCGAGATACAAAAGGAGCACTTAAAGACGATAACATCATTGCAAAGAAACTAAATGGATTCTTTGCTTCGGTCTTCACGGCTGAGGATGTTAGGGAGATTCCCAAACCAGAGCCAGCTTTTGTAGGTGACAAATCTGAGGAACCGTCACAGATTGAAGTGTCACTAGAGGAGGTTTTGGAATTAATTGAATTTAACATTAACAAGTCACCGGGACCAGATGGCATTCACCCAAGAGTTCTGAAAGAACTCAAATGTGCAGTTGCGGAACTATTAACTAGGGTTTGTAACCTGTCCTTTAAATCGGCTTCTGTACCCAATGACTGGAAGATACCTAATGTAACGCCAATATTTAAAAAGGGCTCTAGAGCTGATCCCGGCAATTACAGACCGGAAAGTCTAACGTCGGTACTGGGCAAATTAGTCAAAACAATAGTAAAGAATAAAATTGTCAGACACGTAGAAGAACATACATTGTTGGGCAAAAGTCAACATGGTTTCTGTAAAGGGAAATCGTATCTTACTAATCTATTAGAGTTCTTTGAAGGGGTCAACAAACATGTGGACAAGGGGGATCCAGTGGACATAGTGTACTTAGATTGCCAGAAAGCCTTTGACAAGGTCCTTCACAAAAGGCTCTTACGTAAATTGAGTTGTCATGGGATAAAAGGGAAGGTCCTTTCGTGGATTGAGAACTGGTTAAAAGACCGGGAACAAAGGGTAGGAATTAATGGTAAATTCTAAGAATGGAGAGGGGTAACTAGTGGTGTTCCCCAAGGGTCAGTCCTAGGACCAATCCTATTCAACTTATTTATAAATGATCTGGAGAAAGGGGTAAAAAGTGAGGTGGCAAAGTTTGCAGACGATACTAAACTGCTCAAGATAATTAAGACCAAAGCGGACTGTGAAGAACTTCAAAAAGATCTCGCAAAACTAAGTGATTGGGCAACAAAATGGCAAATGTAATTTAATGTGGATAAATGTAAAGTAATGCACATTGGAAAAAATAACCCCAACTATACATACAATATGATGGGGGCTGATTTAGCTACAACGAATCAGGAAAAAGATCTTGGAGTCATCGTGGATAGTTCTCTGAAGATGTCCGTGCAGTGTGCAGAGGCAGTCAAAAAAGCAAACAGGATGTTGGGAATCATTAAAAAGGGGCTAGAGAATAAGAAGGAGAATATATTATTGCCCTTATATAAATCGATGGTATGCCCACATCTTGAATACTGCGTACAGATGTGGTCTCCTCATCTCAAAAAAGATATACTGGCACTAGAAAAGGTTCAGAGGGCAACTAAAAAGATTAGGGGTTTGGAACGGGTCCCATATGAGAAGAGATTAAAGAGGCTAGGACTTTTCAGCTTGGAAAAGAGGAGACTAAGGGGGGATATGATAGAGGTATATAAAATCATGAGTGATGTGGAGAAAGTAGATAAGGAAAAGTTATTTACTTATTCCCATAATACAAGAACTAGGGGTCACCAAATTAAATTAATAGGCAGCAGGTTTAAAACAAATGCAAGGAAGTTCTTCTTCATGCAGCGCACAGTCAACTCGTGGAACTCCTTGCCTGAGGAGGTTGTGAAGGCTAAGACGATAACAGCATTTAAAAGAGAACTGGATAAATTCATGGGGGTTAAGTCGATTAATGGCTATTAGCCCGGATGGGTAAGGAATGGTGTCCCTAGCCTCTGTTTGTCAGAGGGTGGAGATGGATGGCAGGAGAGAGATCACTTGATCATTGCCTGTTAGGTTCACTCCCTCTGGGGCACCTGGCATTGGCCACTGTCGGTAGACAGGATACTGGGCTAGATGGACCTTTGGTCTGACCCAGTACGGCCGTTCTTATGAGTCCAAACAGCTGCATGAGCAGAGTGAGGGTTATGTCATTAAGGAGATGCTCCGCCCAAGCTGATTTCAGGTACCAAAGACATTGTTACCCTTGCTGAGGTACTCCCACTCGCAAGCACTTGTTTAATGCTGAATCCTCTGGGAATGAGCCAAAGAAAAAGGGTCATGCAGCATTTACAATTAAACACCACGAGCTAAATTCTAACCTCTACTAATTCATCTGAGTCGTACGCTGTCCATCTGCCAGTACATACAGAAAAGATAGAGGTTTCAGTAATGCTTTGCCTTGCTCTGCTGATTGGCTTAGGCGAAGGCTCTACTCCTAGATGCAGGCCCCAGCTCATGAAGAAAGGGTCTTTTTCTTAGCTGAAGCTTAACACTTCTGTCTCTCCTGCTTGTGAGAGTGGATTCGATGGAGGACTCCCTACCTTTCTCCCTTCAGCCAGGGCTTTGAAATGCTGTGGGGGAAAGGAGACTGTGTTAGTGCAGTGACTTGCTCTGGTCACTTAACACACACAACCAGCCGTTTAGAGATAATATATTTAGACCAACAAATGGAAAACAACTCCCCAAAACCATCAGAATTCCACTACGACAATATTGTAAGTGTGAGGCATTCTTTCAACTCACCCCCACAAAAAGGCACACCTCTAAGTAGAAAATTGATGCAATTTGAAAAGCTACTCAACTACATTCATGAAACATAAAGGCTTCCTTTCCACTCTACACAAAATAATCTGTTATTTAGAGGAAGTAACTACATTGATAGATAAAGTTGATGTAGGAGGAAAGGGGAAACATATGGGGCAATGGTCCCCACACCTCCATAAACACATTAATAAAAAATTAAAAGTACATTCACATTCATCAGTGGAACCTAAGTCTCCTTCAAAGTAAGTGAATTTATGGTACAGGGATTGGCAAATGCTGGAGAGAATGTAAGGGAAGGATTTTTCCATATATAGCATGTGTGTCCAAAAATTGAAGACATTTTGGAAAGCCCTTGGAGACTTAAGAAGGGAAATAACAGGGCATCAGTATTTTATTGAATTGTCCTGCAAACTGCTTTTTATAAGAGCCCTCAAAAATTGATTATTCTTTCTCCAGCTGCTAGCAGAAGTACCACAGCATTTGGTGGAAGGGGAGTGACTCCCCTAAAACTAGTGACTGAGATCAAGAAGTGTGGGAAATTCTGGTACTAGAAAAAGTAACAAGTCAGCGTTCTACAGCAGAAATGGAATAGCTATATATTGAAAGGGGGGAGGTGGGTTGGAGTTTGCGGGAAGAGGGTCACTATATGCAAGTGTTGGATGAAGGAATCCTTGTGAGGCATGGGCATGGGAAGCCTGCGAGGTGAAAAATGCATTACAGCTAAAATGGTTAGGAAATAATGGTAACACTTCAGAAAGTGATGTTCTTTGGCCAGGACAGGCACTGTTGTCATGGGCTCTTCAGCAGTGCAGGGGAGCTATTGTGAATTTCAGGACAAGTGGCTTAACACTGCCCCCCCTTGAGCATTCTAACAGTGATAGCCTGGAAGGTGGTGGACACTGGCGTCACCTACCTGTGAGTTCTTGAACTCTGAATACAGCGAGAAGAGGACGTGCAGGGACTGGACCCGACTCTTATAGACAGGAATGTCCAGAATAGCTAGGACAAAACAACATAAGGATTCTGAGTACAATGCTGCTGCCTGGACGTTGGCCCTCTCCAAGTAGCAATACCCTCTGTGCATCCCCAGTGCTTTGGGGCTTTGCACACACAGTTCTTTCTCCCAACTGCAGTCACCAGGAGATGCATCAGCTTAGGTCAGGGCTGAACTTGCCTCCAGGTGTCTCTTGCTTTTCCTAACTGTGGTTCCATGTCTAGTGCTACTAGGCTACTGTGCAGTCAGGGGTTTAGCAGTGAATGGTGAATAGGCCAGAGCCTGCCCCGAATATCCAGAGGGAACAGACACATTTAGAAATAGGGGACCCATCTGTTTCTCCGCACAAGGACACGATACTGGGAGCACAACACCCATCTCCAGGAAAAACAAGTTTTGAAATGAAAGCGCTAGGTCAGGGTCATTCACCTTGATGCAATGTGGAACAGCTACAGGTTCTGAAGGGATCTCTTGTCAGCCCACCCACATCTGAGGCATGGGGACATAAAAGACTAAGCTTGAATGGGAGGAGAATGCAACTAATGCACCTGCAATACCTCCTTCAAACAGCCTGAGAGCACTGCTGTCGGGAGGAAGTGCTGCCTGCTCAGACACCCCCTCAGGCACATAACACTTCATAGTTTGCGCATGGTGGTGCTTGGAGGATGGTGAGGAGCTAGCACTCTGCTCCCTCTGAGAAGATGATGAGAGTGACACGTACAGGTCCTTTGCTTACCACATATCATGTCAATATACTCAGCCAGGCCACAGTTGATGTCCGCAGTTGGAAGGCTTACCTAGAAGGGACATGGAAAGAGTGACTCATGATCCAGCTCTTGTTCAGTGCCCATACAGCGAGACGACACGCTAGTGTTACCCCAGCACAGAGCAGGCACAGCCTGCTTTATATGGATGGAAGCCTCTGAGGCCCATTCATCACTTGGTGTCTCTACCAACATGGGAGACAATTAGTACCACCTGTGTTGTTGCTGGCTGTGATGTGGATGCCTGTTCACTAGGAATTGGGCTGAAACTCACTCACTCATTTCACACAGGCATCACAGGGTGGCAGCTTTCAAGCACCACTGACTGACCTGGCTGGCTTTGAGCTAGAACATACCAAATTGCCTAGTCATTGGTTGCACAGTGGGTTTCCTTCATATCGATACAAGAAACCCAAATAGCTCTGAGCCAGCCTGCGTTAATGAGGGATAACACAGAGTAGGCAAATAGCAAACAGGCCAGAGTGAGACAAAAGCCCAGATTATGCCTGTAATACACAGCTGGGGCAGCTGTTAGGCAGGCTGACAACATACCTTTCCCAAAAGCTCCTCAAATTCTGGGGACCATTCCTGCATCAGAGTCTCGATATCAGGCATTGGCCTGCAAGGGGAGAAAAACAACCCTGCACGTAAAAACACAGTATGCCAGCATTAATTTTGCTGGATGTGGAGCTTCCTGACAGTGCACTGACAACAGACTGGTGTGAATGGGGAGAGCGTGACACAGCAACTGCACTCTTGTCCTCACAGAGGGAGAAAACAGACACACATTCGCGCCTATGAGCACACAGAAGTGTGGTCCTGATTAAGCAGCTTTTATGGTAGTCAAAACAAGGTGCCAACTCCATATTGCAAGAGACAAGAGCAAGTCATCCACAGATTTCACTACACCTGCTATAGAAGGTGAGTTAATGTACTAGACTTCACCTCTGGAGGTCTGGGATCAAGTCTGATTTGGATCACATGGGAAAATGAGTTTGATGGTCTCAGATTAATCCACACATCTGGACATCACAGTCTGTATACGGTACAAATCTCTTCACAGGAGAGGCTTGTGGGATAGCAGGGGGGCTGCTGGCTGGGAGTTTTGGCAGAGGTGTGCGGTGAGCTCAGGCCTGGAAAAGCCGGGAGTATGCAAGTCAGGATTGGGGATACTGGCAAAGCAGGGTGAGAAAGCTTTTCTAATAAATAATAGTCCCTTCCTCAAAGCACTTTTGCAAAGGTGCTCAGCATCATTATCGCTGTGCAAACTATCCCTGGCCCAAGTGAGTGTCACTCATCACACTCGCTTTAGTGGGGACCAACCTCACTTGCAAAGTTAAAGACACAAACACAAACAGCTGTATGTTTCAAACTCAAGGCAGAGTTTTGCTGAGGAGTTTTGAATCAATAAGAATTCCAGTTAAGACTGGATGAGCCAAGTAAAGGTAACATGGAGAGAGTGCACACATTAATTCCTAACTGTTGCCTGTGTCAGAGATTTTGACTTGTACACACAATCCATAGCTGTAACCACTTACCAAGTATCTGATGAGAGATCAATTCCTTCTTCACAGTCATGGCAAGAATAAAACTGATGAGGTGATGTTTTTATCTTCTCTAAATAAACCATGTCTAACTCTATATCTGCATTTCTAAAACCCCTATCACTGCAGTGCAACATACTGTAGGTCAACAAAGTTCCTCCTCTCTCCTGACTGCATTTTGAAAAGAGTTAACGATAGTTCTTTGCTGTCATACAGAGCCTTTCATCTCAGGGTATCTAAGCACTTCACAAACATTAGAGAAGCCCCTCAGTCCTACTCTCAGGTAAGTCAGTCACTCAAGCTACTTACACATGCACCCTTTCTACAAGGGCAAACTAGACCTATCTGAATTACACAAAGTCAGCAGGAGAGAAATTCCATTGATTAAAGGACACTCAAACTGCATCTCTGCATGCAAGACAAGCGGTAAGGAGTAAGCAGAGTAAAATACAAATGCAGGAGGGTACAGAGAGCTCACCTGGTGTAGTGAACAGTAGCAGGAGGTTTGAAGCGATGTAACTCGCTGATGCTCTCGATCCAGTTATCAATGGCTTTGGGATTCTTCTCTGCATTCTCCAAGCTCTTCACTTTTATTTGCTGCTGAGAACAGAAATGCGAATCTGGAGACATACTTTCCAAGGCTGGTGGGTCCCTGCAAACCCTATGCTTCATTCCTGGCTGGGCTATGTGGTTTTGTTCTCTTTCCCAGCTGCGCTATACCATCCAGTGTCTGCATACAGGAGCAGAAGAGCATCTGGGAAAGAACACAGTGACTCAAACCAGACAGCAACAACCACAGGGGAATGAAGCTTTGATCCAAGGAAACAAATGGATCCAAAGTCTGTTTATTAAGACGTGTGTGTGAATGACAGCAGACACACTGTAGTCTAAAGATGTGAGTGGGAAAGATGTTTTCCTGTTCATGAGAATTTAGTCAAATCCTCACTGTGCTGTAACCATGGCAGTGGTACAGCCACACGGGTTAGAACAAGACTCCCATCTTTCTACCAAGCTTAGTGTGGGGTAACCAGCTCTTTTCCCTTCATAACTTACTGCAACGTTGTGCTGTTTGGAGTTTTCCGTTAACCAGAGAGAGAGCACTGTGGAATCTGACTGTTTTGTGGATGGCTCATCCAGTACCAACAGGCCAAGGTTATCTGGCTTCCCATCGGGACGTGGAACCTGCAAAGCAACAAAGAGGAACTGAATTTTTTCCCCTTCTATATTCAAAACAGGAGCATGTGACCAAGAACCAGCCAGCCAAGCACCTGAGAGAGAGGATGCTCGGTGCCAATCAGAGCCGTAGGCTTCCCTGTCCAATGTCTCCAGCTCCAGCTGTGGCCATCCCTGATGCTTGAGAGGAAGGAGATAAAACACAAAACAATAACAGAGTACATGGGGGAGCATCCCTTCCTGACCCCGGCTGATGGTCAAAAGAAACACTGAAGGATGAGCTTTTAGGAACATAAGACGTAAACTGGGAGTGAGTCCCGGGGCTGCTGAGCCTTGCCCCCTACCATCACAACCAACCTTGACACACACAGTCATAAAATTGTCCAGCTCTCTCTAAAACTAATTGAGTTGTTTGCCACCACAACTTCTGTTGCAGAACCTCACCCCTCTGTTGGTTAGAAACTGTCTTCTAATTTCCAACCTTAATTTTGTTCATGGCCAGTTTATACCCAAATACTGCAACATTTTGGAGACCGGGCAATTATATTTGGAGAAGACTTCAAATGCACACATACTCCTTACTGGGACAGACTGGATAAAAGAGACAAGGTAGACAGGGAAGCAGGTGCAGAATTGACTTCTCTATGCCAACAATTCAATCTCTCAGATTGCTGGAGAGAATTGCACACTGGGGAACAAACTCTCACATTTTAATTCATACCCTCATAATTTATATACTAGAATAGAGTTAATGTTAATCACCAAATCCCCAGT